TGGCGGGGTCCTCCGGGGAGCAGGGTGAGCGGCGCGGCCGGACCGGGCCTGGCGGGGGCGCGGCGTCGGGGGGTGTCCGGGTCCGAGGGGCGACTGGTGTCCGGGTCCGCGTCTGAGGGTCCGTGGACACTTGGGTCCGAGGGGACAGGGGATGCCCGCGTCCCGTGTACAAGGGGCCGGTGGATGCCCGGGTCCCGCTCCGAGCGTCCGTGGATGCTTGGGTGTCCGGGTCCGAGGGGACAGTGGGTCTCTGGGATCCTGCGTCCTACGGACAGAGGATGCCCGGGTCTGGGGTCCTGGGTACGAGGATCAGTGGATATTTGGGTCCCGGGTCCGAGTGGGCAGTGGAAACCTGGGATCCTGCGTCCTACGGACGGAGGATGCCCGGGTCTGCGGTCCTGGGTACGAGGGTCCGTGGATATTTGGGTCCCGGGTCCGAGGGGACAGTGGATGCCTGGGATCCTGCGTCCTACGGACAGAGGATGGCCGGGTCTGGGGTCCTGGGTACGAGGATCAGTGGATATTTGGATCCCGGGTCCGAGGGGACAGTGGATGCCTGGGATCCTGCGTCCTACGGACAGAGGATGGCCGGGTCTGGGGTCCTGGGTACGAGGATCAGTGGATATTTGGATCCCGGGTCCGAGGGGACAGTGGATGCCTGGGATCCTGCGTCCTACGGACAGAGGATGCCCGGATCTGTGGTCCTCGGTACGAAGTTCAGTGACTATTTGGGTCCCGGGTGCAAGGGGACAGTGGATGCCTGGGTCCCGTGTCCGAGGTGACAGTGAATACTTGGGATCCTGTGTCCTAGGGACAGAGGATGCTCGGGTCTGGGGTCCTGCGTCTGAGGGTCAGTGGATGCCTGGCACCCGTGTCCAAGGGGCAAAGGAGCCCCGGGTCTAGGTCCTGGGCATAAGGGTCAGTGGACACTTGCGTCCCGGGTTGTAGGATCGGTGAATGTCCGGGTCCCGGGTCCGAGGTTGGCCACTTGGACCTCAGCGCAGGGGCTGCCGAGACCCCTCCGGGCTGGAGTGCAAACCCCGTGGTTCCCAGGTCCTGCCAAGGCCCTCCCCAGTCTCAGTTTCCCCATCGGTTTCAGCTGAGGTCCCCTCGCCTCTGCCCACGCCCCTCCCACCAGACTGGACTCTTGGGAGAGGCGATGCCCAGGGTGGTTGAGGATTTCTGCCCCAACCGGGCATTGCTTTGGAGTTGGTGAGGCCGCCTGAGGTTGGCCCTTGGGGGAAACAGGGCAGGGGAGTTGGCGTGGGCACTTGAAAGGGCCGGGCTGTCCAGGGCTTTCATCTCCCCAGCCGCCCCCGCTGCCGCCACTGGGTCAGAGTGTCACTTTTTTGGCACCCAGGAGGGTCCCCGTGACTCAGTCAGCACTGGGGAGACCTGCCAGAGCAGGGGTCTTTTCTCACTGTCTCTGGGCTGGGCTTTGCATGCTGGAAAGAGTAGAGGCAGCTGGGGACCAGCTCCCAAGAGAGCGTTCCTGACTTTTAATTCTCTGGTTTTAAATGACCTAGTTTTAACTCTCCTGGCAAACACTAGCTGCCGGTTCTTCTAGGACACTTCCAGCCCCTGCCTACCGTTTAGTTGTGGCAAGATTTCTTGACGTCTTGTGGCGCCCTGTGCTCCTGAGGGCTTGCTGGGTTCTAGGTACCTCTGAGCACCTGGGCAACCTGGAGACGAGGGGGCTTCCAGGTGACAGGGCTGCTCATCATGGCACAGGGTGACTGTCCTGCGCCTGGTGGCAAGGGTAGCCTCCTTCCAGGCTCGCCGCCTTCCCCTACCTGCCTTCCCCAACCTGCATGCCTGGATTCCAGCGTGTCTCCACCCACAGCCAGGAGGCCCTCAGAAGTCCACCCACACGCCTGTAAAATAAAAATAGCAGGTGGTAATCATCCCTGACTCTGGGGCCAGCCTGGCAGGGCCAGAGTCCCAGCTCTGCCTCTTTGTCACAGCAAAGCAGGAATGAAGGTATCAGGCATGGTCTGGGCTACTCCATGGGAAGGACTCAGGGCAGGGCCGGGCATACGATGCCCACCTTGTCTCTGTCGGAAACTAGGTCCGGGCCCGGCAGCTGTGGCCTGTAAGCCCAGCCCTGTGGGAGGCCGAGGTGGGAGGATTGCTCCAGCCCAAGCATTCGAGACCCATCTGGGCAACAGAGTGAAGCCCTCATCCCCAAAAAAAAATTTAAAAGCTAACCGGGTATGGTGGCACACGCCTGTACTCCCACCCGGGAGACTGAGAAGGAAGGATCGCCTCAGCCCAGGAGGTCGAGGCTGCAGTGAGTCGTGATCAAGTCACTGCACTCCAGCCTGAGTGAGACCCCAACTCAAAACAAACAAACCACAAAAAAACCTTAAAAAAAAACTAGATCCCGCTTTTTTCCCTCTTTTTGTTCCTTTTTAATAAAAGCGTGTTAATTGGTTCATTTGTGAACGTCAGTGACATGATGGGTTTTTGTATCCTGAAGCTGCTTCAGCAACTGTAGGTTCCAGGGTACTTATGAGCTTGCTGTGTGGGCTGGGGTGACCCCTCTGGCTGGCTGCAGATGGTGGTGTCCTCCGTTCTGAACCTGTGGGCTGCGCCCCCGCCAGCGCCCCTTCTGCCCCCGAGTGCAGCCTGCCCGGGGCTCCCCTCAAGGGTCGGAATAGAGTCCGCCCTCCAGGAGACGAGGCAGGACACCATGGGACAGCCATAAGTAACCGTCTCTCCCTGCCTTCAGGGAGACCCCTTCCAGACCATTCTCAACTGGCCAGGACCATCTGTGTCCTCTCGCGAACCTCTTGGGCTACGGTTTCTCCTCTGTGGTCTGGAAGGTGCGAGCCCGTGCCCTGCTAGAGCCCACCTGTCTCAGAAGGGCGAGTGTTATTTCTGAGACTTCTGGGACTTAACACATGCCTGCTGGCCAGCTGCTGAATTAATGAGACTTGCGGTTGAATGGCCTACACGGTTCCCGTAGGGTCTTCATGCTCATCCGGCCAGCACTCTGCAGCTTGGCGGCGTCAGACCCTGCTCTGAGGCCTCCATGTCTCCTGCATCCCCGCCCTTTGCAGGCCATTCCCATCCGGCCCTTCCATGCCGGTGAGGACCGGAGGCTCAGAACAGTCGAGAATGTGTCCGGCCTCCCCCCTGGCCGAGGCAGAGCCAGACCCCCTAAGCTCGCACGGCGCCCCCTCTGGCCACCCCCAGAGTCACCTGGGCTCCTGTCACCCAGCGAGGGAAGGCAGACAGGATAAAGCTGAGCAGCCTGGTGTGTCCCCGAAGGAGACACGAGAGGATGCACTGACCAAGGGCAGCCAGGGGTCAAGGGTCACGTTTCCAGAGTTTAAACGCCCTTGGGTGGGATGAGGCCATTTCTGGCGCTGGTGCAGCACTTCGCGTGGCAGTGGCCATGGTGGTGGTGGTGCCCTCTGATCACGCCCGCTCATCTCCACGTGTGAGGAATATTGGATACCCCTGGCAACCAGCAGCCTCCTTCCCTGCAAGGAAGCAGATGGAGGTGCCATTCCCAGGGTGAGAGGGGCTTGGGGACCCTGGACGGGTGACAGCCAGACAGCAGGGGTGGGTGCCCAGGAGCCAGGGTATCTCTCCTGTGGGAGAAGGCTCTGGATGCTGGAAGCAGGCGGCATTGCCTCCAAGGGCTGAGGGCAGGGGCTCTGCAGGGGGCGTGTCCTGGTGCCCTTTCTGAAGGCCACGTGGGTGGGTAGGGGTGCAGGAGCAACTGGAAGGTGGCAGGGAGCCCAGGGCTGTGTGCGCAGAAGGATGGGTGTTGCTGGGTCACCCCGAGATGGGACCCAGTGGGACCTCAGCGGGGATGGGGTCAGTGAACAGAGGGCCAGGTACTTGGGGTACAGGCCCACTGTAGAGGGGCTGGGCTCAGAGGCTCACCCTGCCCACAGGGATTCCCCCACGCTGGAGTTTGCGAGCCCTGGGGCAGCACTAGAACCCAGAAAGCCATGAGCCTGCCTGGGCCACCAGGGTTCCTGATTTGGCAGGTCTCAGGGCAGGAATGAGACTCCAGAGAAGCCCCCAGGGCTGGGAGTGAAGCCGAGAGACCCCAAGGGAGGGTGAGGCAGAAACTCTGGGGAGTTTGTATGTTGATGGGAGCGGGAGGGAGCCACAGTCCTAGGGGGGCAGTCAGGCAGGGGTTCATCTGGCACAAATTGGATCCCACCTGTGGGAGTGGCTGGTGGACTCCACGTGGTGTTGGGAGACATTATGGAAGACTCCAGCTCCGCAGACCGATCGTCACCACCCACCTTGGGGCACTCCGTGACCAGAGGGTGTCTGTCCTTGGATGTGGTTGTGGACTGGTTTGCAGGGTCACCCTGCAGTGGCCTTTGTGCTCCCACAGGCAGCGTTGGCACGGTGTGTGCCGGCTCCGTGGCCAGGGTCCCGAAGGGCGTGAGTCTGCTTGGACACGCTGTCATCAGGTCTCGGTGTTGGACGGGTGGACCACGGTCTTTCCCAAACCCATGAACCCTTGAGAGCTGACCCGTCTGCTTCCTTGAATCACACAGCAGGACAGAGGGCCCTGGTTACCCAGAGGACTTTGTCCCTGTGCGCCCCTGCATGGCACCTTTCTGTCTGGGCCCCTCTCCACGTGTGGGCTCTGTCCCTTTGATGGTCTGGGCTGCCCTAGATGGCACATTTAAAGAGGAGTGTGTGATCCCGGGTAGCGTCCTCCAGGACACTTCAGGGTGACTCGGCTGGTGCAGTAACACTAATCATACAGGACAATGATGGCAATGATGATGTGGTAATGATGGTGAGACTGACCGGGTGCTGACTCTGCCAGGCGGCCTTCAACGTTGACAGGTGTAATTGGGTTTAATGGCCCACAGCTTTACCAGGCATGTGTTGTTTATGGGTGTGTTCTGCCATGAGAGCGCTGGCAGCCGTGAGAGCGCAGTGTGGTGCCCAGGCCTTGCGGGTGCGAGAAGGCTGGCAGGGAGCGTGTCTGCGGTGCCCCAAGTTCCTAGGCTGCCTCCTCAGCACTTGAAAACCATTGCAGG